ACATCTGTGCCACACAAGACCCCAGTGCAATGTCCAACTCTAATAAGAGAATCTAAGCATCATCGAATCATCCACTATCAACACTGTCCAGTAACGGAACTAAACTAGCTATATAAATATGAAAACAAAAAAATGCTGGAGATCACAGCAGGTCAGGCAGCATCCATGGAGACAAAACAAGCCAACGTTGAATCTAGATGACTCTTCAGAGCTAAAGTGAAGTGAGGAGGGGGCAGCATTTACGCAATAGTCTGTGGGAGGTGGGGATGATTGGAGTGCTGGGGGAGAAAGGATGTTGATATTCCGATCACGTAATCTGAACTACGAGAAAGGCGGAACAATGGCATGTCTAATTGCCAGACTGGAAAGAACACATCAAGCAAAGGTAAAAGAAAAAGGAAGGAATGGGGCCAAACCCATTCCTTCCTTTTTCTTTTAGCTTTGCTTGATACATTATCTGTCACCCTCTCTTCCCTTTCCCCCATCCCAATGGGACAGTGTGTTCTTTCTAGTCTGGCAGCTAGACATACCATTGTTCCGTCTTTCTCACATTCTGATCACTTAAGCTGAACTATGAACACCCTTTCTCCCCCAGCACTCCAACCATCACAGTGCCCCCGCCCCATTGCATAAATGCTGCATGCTCCTCACCACTTCAGCCCTGATGAAAAATCATCGAATCGAAATGTTAGCTTGCTCTCTCTCCATTGATGCTGTCCGACCCGCTGTTATCTCCAGTATGTTTTGTTTTCAGTTCAGATTCCAGCATCTGCAGTAATTTGCTCCTAGCCATATAAATATGTTGGCTACAGAGTAGGTAGCAGGGTAGAAATCCTGCAGCATGCAACATACTTCCTCACTCCCAGAGCCTGCCCATCCAGCCACATGGTACAAAAACAACCAGGAAAAAGCAGCCCTTTCAATTGCCACTACATCTACAAATATTCACTCTATCCACAACTGACATATAGTAGGAGAGTGTACCATATGCAAGGTGCACGGCAGAAATTCACCAAGGCTCCTAGAAAAGCACCTTCCAAACTCTCAACCACTACCATCTAGAAGGACATGGGCAGCAGATGCACGGGAACACCACCTCCTACAAGTTCCCCTCCAGGGCACTCACCATCCCAACTTGGAAATATAATTGCCATTCCTTCTCCTTAATTCAAAATCTTAGAACTCTCCTCCTAATATGACTGTAGGTATATCTGAACACCTGGATTGTGCCAGTTCAAGGAGGTAGGTCTCCACCACCCTCTCAAGGGTGATTAAGACAATAATAAATAATGGCCTAGCCAGTGAAGCCCACATCCCTGAACATAATATTTACAGTACCAGAACTTATTAAAAAGATTAGTAGAGCTGCCATGTTACTCCAGAAAAGTTTTTTTTGAAAAAAGTACTGTTAAGCATATTCAAAATTATAAACAAACATTCTACAGTTGTTTCCACAATTTGCATTGATACTGTGCTATATAATTTTAGAAGGAGATTCTGCAATGAGGAACTGCTGCATGACGTTTAACTGATAGGAGAAGCTGCTGTTAACAATTCAGCCAGGCACTGCTAGTATGTAAGGAATATAGACTAGATATCTAAATACCTCTCTTGATTCAACCACATTGAATGTTGATCTTCTTGAATTGAGCAGCATTTCTTCCATACTCACTCCACATGGACATTTTTTTGAGCAGGGATATTTTCTCTTGCTGTCTGAACTAATCACTCCTTCCAAGTTTTAATAATTGATGAGGGAAATAAGTTGTGGAAAGAAAACTCGAATGAATATGTTTTTGCATACTTTTGGCATGACATGATTTGACATAACATGAACTTCACAGGAAATGTCTGTCAACTTTGTTCATTCAATCAACATTGTTTCACCTCCTCTAATCTTGCCTGAAAATAACAAAATATTGTGTTAGGGATCGGCACTGATGCAGATATTGACCGAGGTATTCCGACCTCAGTGGTAGTTACCCAGGGGTTAGAAAATGTTTTTAATCCTTGAATTGTTCCTGGTCAACTATTAAGCTTAAGTGTGTCAAAATGCTGGAAAGTCACTGACTTTAAAAGTCTTTTCAATGGGTTCCCGACAGGCAAGTGCCTATCACAAGTTTCAACTTTGAGGGCAATTCGCTAGACTCATCTGCATCGGGAATTTTACACAGTCTTATGTGCAACCTAAGTCAATGCTGTTCTTAAAACAAGGTGGTCATTGGAACATCTGGGGCAGTAACTAAAACACATAGCACATGTCTAAAATAATATTAACAAAAACAGAAATGAATTGGAATTTTTAAATAGTTGGTGGACTCTGCATTCAGAAATTCATAACAGAAGGTACACAACACCTGATACTCCTCAAATGGAAGTATTGCCAGAGAATGGACAACCAGCATTCTCTCAAGCAAAAACAGAAATTGCTGGAAAAACTCAGCAGGTCTGGCAGCATTTGTGGAGAGAAATCAGAGTTAACATTTCCGGTCGAGTGACCCTTCTTCTGTTTCTGATTTACAGCATCCGCAGTTTTTTTTTTTCGGTTTTTACTCAGCATTCTCTCAGTTGAGTTGAAGCGTAACAATCTGTGATGCACACATGGAAAAATTGTCTTAACACAACTGGACTTCTGCTCCCAAGCCTAGAACTTGAGCACATCTCCTAGTTTTAAACATGGATTTGGCTCAAATTGGCCAACGGGCCTAGCTTCAATCTTCATTTGAAAATTGGACCTGTTCAAATGGATATGGATGCCAGGGACAGCAAGGACTTTTCCCAACAATGCTCAATTTTAACAAGTTAAATGAATTTACAGTGGTGTTTAAATTACACAATACATGCATACAATTCTGCACAATTTTTCCATTAACAATTTGAAGGTCAAATTCAAAGTAGAACCAAAGATATTTCAAGAGGAAAAGAACAGAAAGTAAAAGATCCTGCATGAATATCAAAGTCTCTTTTTATTTGCTCATAGGATGTGGGCTTCATTAGCTTAGTCAGCAATTATTGACCATCCATAACTGCCCTGGAGAAGTTAGTGATAAACTTCTTTCTTGAACTGTGGCAGTCCATTTGGTATACAGTCACCTACAATGTTGTAAGGGAGGGAGCCAGAGTGCCGAATGGCTTAGAAAGGAACTTGAACATGATGTTCCCATGTATCGGTTGCGCTTGTCCTTCTAGAGAATATAGTTATAGGTTTGGAAGGTGTTGATGAATTTCTGCAGTGCAATTTTGTAGATGATCAAAAACTAATGTGTAAATGTTATGTTAACAGTAAATTTCCTATTCCAATAGATTCAAAACTAACAGTTCAAGAACTCAAGTGAGAAGCTGAGATAACAAGGTGTAGAGCTGGATGAACACAGCAGGCCAAGCAGCATCAGAGGAGCAGGAAGGCTGATGTTTCGGGCCTAGACCCTTCTTCAGAAATGCACCTTGTTATCTCAAATTCTCCAGCATCTGCAGTTCCTACTATCTCTAAAGTGAGAAGCTTACTCTTTAACACAGACTAAGGGATTTATAACATATGCTAACAAATCATGATGCCGGGGATGAAACCAATCCCCTAAAAAAACTGCATCTCAGTGACCAAAATTGTAGGATTTATCTGTTTGCGTTAGAGGCAAATGCAAGTCAATAAGCTGATAATTTTCCGTTATTAGTGAGTGAACCATTCAAGATCTGAGCTAGCTCACAGAAAGTCTATTTGAACAATCAGATCTCGTTGCATGTCCATCTTTTTCAATCTGCTGCCATTCAGATAATAATCTTCCTTCTTGGTTTTGCTACCAAAGTGGATAACCTCACATTTTTCAACACTGTATTTCATCTGTATCTACCCACTCACTCAATTTGTTCAAATCACACTGAAGCATCTCCTCTTACATCCTCCTCATCGCTCACTCTTCCGCATAATTTTGTGCTGTCTGCAAGCTTGGAGATAGTACATTTCATTCCCTCATCTAAAACATTAATATATATT